TAGTGTTCTATAGATGCTAAAGTAAACCAGAACATTGACATTAATAAATACATTGATTGCTTCAAAGGTGTTTGCAAACCACCTCATACATTTTAAGTATACATAATTTGTTGACATCTAGATGACTGACTTCTGCTAACATAAACCAGAACATTGACCCTATAAATAAAATTGCCATTTGATGCATTTTATGCTGTCTTTGATTCTAGGGTTCTCTATCATCCTTTCCTCCACTTGCCCTTTTAATTTCCTTTCTCAGGGACTTAGCTTTCACTTGCTTCTGTTTGATCTTGTGCTTCTGAATTACATCTCTTGCAAATGAAAATGAGCGTACACGTAAATATAAGGTGATAATACTGTGCAGCATATCTTTACTAATTCTGCTATCAATCTCCAGTGAGGATTCAGATACAATTTCATTGAAGAAAGCAACTACATCTGTATCTTTGCAACATTTCTCAATTACAGCTTCAATGTTGATAGATCTTTGGTCAGTTTTACAATTGTTTCTAAAATGATGTTCTGCCCTCAAAAATATTTTCTGGGCTTTTTTCGTTGGATTCCACAGCCCTCCACGGCTTAAGGAAGAGATAAGTTTCTGTGATTCAGTGATAGTCTTTGATTCTTCTTTGCATGCATTTAATAAAGATGTAGCCTGTTGACTTTCTGTTGATTTCCAATTCTTAGATGCTCTGTGTTTATTGTGCAGATTTTGCAAGACATAGCCTCCTAGATATTGTAGACCAGCAATCTCTTTTTCCTTTAAAGCTTTTTCAACTTCGTTATCATTTACAGGAGAAAGAGATTCTTTGCAGTAGGCCAGGAGTCGATCAGCAAGTTTAGTTGATAACAATGTTGCTGAATTACTGGACAGACTCGGGAAGTATTTTGTAGCATGTAATGATATGGTCGCGTAATACTTGGAGTAAAACTTGTCAGCGTTTCCATTCTTCGTAAAGCCATCAAAAATAGTCCGTATCTCTTCAAACTCTTTCGATCCTTCGCAAATGTTAAACTGGAATGATGATATTTCATCTCGCATTGCTTTTGTAAACACTTTTCTTTTGCTTATTGTCGTTTTCACGTTGTTCACCAGATCGTTCAAAACGTCGCTTGTAAATGCTATTCTTTGCCTTGATTCTTCCTCTTGTACATCTTGTTCGGGATCTTGGTTGTTATCTTTGTGTTTAATAGTCGTGTGTCTGCTTAGACCTCGTTTACTTTTACAAACTTTTTGACATATACTACAAGCTACGTCTTGCCTTTGGACCTAGAATGTAAGAAACATTTAGTTGATCAAACTTGATAAAATCGCCAACAGTTTGAAATCAGTTTATACCAATATTGCTACTATAACTCTTCTTAAAGCTTTAGCGATTCTAAAAGAATCCGAAAGAAATCTAATTTTTCTTCTGGAGCTCTGGAAACAGATACACAATACCGAACACTGATCGATCTCAAGCCAACTACACTGAGCCTTTTCTAGCAACAAACCGCGAATAAAATGACTAAATAGGACTAACTTTTAGCTTTTAACACGCACCTCCTGTACAGCTTCATGAAACTGTTCTTCCAAATTCTCATCTTCTTCTAAAACTGCCATAATAGCATCGAAATCTTCTTCGAATATAAAGTCTTCGATGCCAGACGCCATGTTTGTTTACTGTGACAACGATAGCGATGCACGGTACTCGTGACGTATCATGACGTAACGGTGCAATTCAACCTAAAATCGTATACAATAAGCCGGTCCTTTGAAGTTCGCCGGCCTTCCTAACCAGTCCCCTCGATTAACTATGGTCTCATGACAGTCTTGACACCACACGCAACTTTAGCTACATGGGTGTGGCCATCTCGTTCAGGATACACCTCAACAATCCGTCCTAATGGCCAACATTAGGACGGCCAACATTAGGCTGATGGCCTAATGGCCAACATCAGGCTGAATTACAAGAACCACATCGTCACCTTTAAATTTAGGTCTCGGCATTCTGAAGTCCATTTTGGTCGACTGTTAAGGACTGGAACAAATTCCTTGAGCCATCTCCTCCACACTCGTGAAATGTCTCGAACCTTTCGCCATCGTTGACGCGGATGCAAAGTATTGGTTTCAACGGCCTCAGGAGCGAACTGTCCCCCCATTTTGCCAAGCCCCGATTTTGTTGGCTATTTCATCTTGAACTTCGTCGTCCCAGTCGTAGCCTTGCATCCACAGCTCCTAACGTAGAATTTCTGCCACAATAAGGTAAGGGCATACGAATCCCAGCGGGTCAAAAATCGTTGCTACTTTACGCAGGACGTTTCGCTTTGTTGTCTGAAATTCCGGGGAAACCGGAGATGCGGTAACGGTAAACACGTCTTCAGTACTCTTCCACAAAGTTCTCAGTGTCTTCGTTATCTGGTCTTGACCGCTATGATTAATCATGATCTCTGTGGTGCGTTCATCTGATGGAATCGCCTCAATACCTTTCGGGGAATTAGAGATCCATTTCCTGGCTTGCATGACGACGACTCCCCATAATGCCTTCAATTGACAGTATAATTCCACTCCTTCATTATCGTTTTCAGCACTATCAGTATAATCATTCATATAGGTTCACTCGAGGACTGTCTCACCAGTAAGAGGATAGCGATCTTGGTTTCTTCGAGCGTTTTCCCGCGCGACGTCGGACTGCGACTCCATAGGGGCTGAATTCTCTCCAAAAACTACACGATTAAATTCGAATACATCTGGCTCTCGGCTAGGGTCAAGATCTCTCCATAGTAGTCGGAAGTGAGATCGGTGTTGTTCCTCCATCTCTATTTAAACAATAGAGTGTTTCTGTCGAGGAACTACCGGCTGATAGTTGCCCCGCGGAAATTTGATGTTTTTAAAACAAATTTTTTTCCGAGAAGCGAAGCTTCGAGGGCAAATATGCTAGTTTTAAGAACATCAAATTTC